GTTTACAACATTAATAACTTTCAAAACAATACAGGTAGATAACAGCTTAAGAAAAGACTATCTCAGGTAGCAATTACGTACAGCTCAACGCTTATTACAGTTATGATCTACAACAAAATAGCAGGTGTTTGTTACGGTTAATGAACTGGAACAGAAACCTGTAACTCAGGAATGAAAGACGAACTAAAACAAATATATCTACGTCGGATTTCTATATTTTCTGATAGAGAAAGCAAATATGTAAAACATACTAAATTATCTGATTTTCTCTCCCCGAATAAGATCCCTATATCTCGGATTTTGTAAGGTCGGAACATTTATTTAACGTGGGGTCTTTCATCTAAGTGTCTGCTTTGTGCTTTGCTCATGTTTTATCCCGAGACCAATCGAACGCAGATGAGAGTATCGTGTAAAAACCGTAAATAATCACATAAATTGGAGCTCTTTGCCAAGGTTCTCAGTTTTAATCAGTGAGCGATTAAGTTGTCGAGCGTTTCGGTAGGAAGTTTTTCGCTTCTGCTGAAACAATCTCGTTGACGTTACTTCGCCGGTGCAATACCTTTCCATCTTTCCATTACTACACGGCAATTGTTTGCATCTTCTTCTTCAGTATAGTTAAGGCTTTGAACACTTAAAGGCCATCGTCATCAATAACGTCCTTGAACATGGCGAGTTGATTGATACTCGGGGCTTTCCGGCTCCAAACCAAGTGATTATTACAGTATTTCTCTTTCCTAGCTTCCAGTTCTCGAGGATCTTGCCACTTAATTGACCACAAATCTAAATGTTGCGGAGACAATGATATCTGGTGAAATAACATTGAAAATTGTGATGCTTTAGGCGGCGAGGCACCGGAAGTTGTTTCGCTGGTAAGCATTCGTAGACGGTAGACGAAATTGAACTACCCTTTCGCTGCAACGTGCAATATTAGATGGCAGAGAACCTAAAACGAACCTTATCCGATCTGGCTACTGTAACTCAATATACACTAGGTGAACGCGTATTTTAATATATAACCGTATGTATGGCATAAATTACAAAGCCGTTACAGAACATAAGCGTGCATATAAAGAATGTTTGGCAAATTAGCATAGCATAGCCTTAAAATTAAGGTATGTTCGCCATTTTGAACAGTCAAATCCAGCTGGTGTCAGAAACTCGTTTGTTTGGTTTGGCCATGACGTCAGTGCATTCTCATTGGCTCACAACCAAGCCTTTTGTTCTTTTGCGTTATAATTTCTCCACCACCCGGATGGTTGGGCGGCCAGTTAACTTCACCGTAATATATGTACATCTCTCTTAATCTCTCTTAAAACAATACTTCCTTGATATATAATCAAGTATTCTTCCTCAACCACCCCCCCCCCCCCNCAATATCCCCTCATTAATTCCACACATATACCTACACAGCCTACATCTTTACATCTTATTAATCCCCCACATATACCTACACAGCCTACATCTCATTAATCCCCTACATGTACCTACACATCCTACATCTCATTAATCCCCTACATATACCTGCACAACCTACATCTCATTAATCCCCCACATATACCTACACCGCCTACGTCTCATTGATCCCCTTCATATGCCTACACAGCATTCATCTCATTAATTCCCCACATATACCTACAAATCTTACATCTCATTAATCCCCTACTTATACCTACACATGCCACACCTCATTTATCCCCTACGTAAACCTACACAGCCTACATCTCATTAATCCCCCACATATACCTACACAGACTACGTCTCATTGATCCCCGACATATATCTAAACATCCTGCATCTCATCAATCCCCTACATATACCTACACATCCTACATCTCATTAATCCCCCACATATACATACACAGCTTACATCTCATTAGTTCCCCACGTATGCCTACATAGCCTACATCTCATTAATCCCTCACATATACCCACAGAGCTTACATCTCATTAATTCCTCACATTTACCCACACAGCTTACATCTCATTAAGGTTACTTCAAACCTTCGCGGGGTTATATTGGTCGATTTTTTTTGGTCAAGAAAATTAATGTCCGCGAAGCACAAGTTTGCATACTGTGAACGCTAGAGGTTCTGTTATTTCATTGGCTCGCGGCTTTCAAGTTGACTCATTCCTCCGTAAAGGCGTGATATGTTTATGAATCTTTAGAAAGCGAAAACTCGCACTCGTTTTTCGAGAGAATCCCTTCTCTTTAAATGAATTAATAGGGTATGCAGATTTGAAACACTGCACAGTTATTTTGCATGAACGATCGCATTTGATACCCGATTAATTCGCTGGAACGTCAGTCGGCCATTTTGGAGTTGACGGCCTCTGCCACCTTTGGAAAGCAAAATCCAAAACAAAACATAATTTTATCGAATTCTACATTCTATAACCTTTATGTTGATATGTAGTTTGTGGGGGTTCCTTGAAAACAGCGCGCGTATGAATTTTTTTCTGGAGGACTCCCGCGAAGGTTTGAAGTAACCATTCCCCACATATACCTGCACACCATGCATTTCATTAATCCCACTACATATACCTACACATCTTATACCTCAATAATCTTCCACATATACCTGCACAGTCTACATTTCATTAATCCCCAAATATACCTACGCAGCATACATCTCATTAATCCTGCAAATATACCTACGCAGTTTGCATTTCATTAAATCGTTACTAGAGTCATTAGTCATTATATTCAGAGGTTATCAACTCATGTAGAACCAAGTAGTCTAAGATATCTATGAACAAGTAACATGATTGACTATCGCTATTCATATTATCCGTTCACTTGCCGTGCGTTGAGCCGTTCAAACGGATACCGTTTTTTTTTTACTTTGTACTGACGCGTGATGCGTGATTTAATAGAAAAATTCAGCGTGATGCGTGATNAATCCAAAACAAAACATAATTTTATCGAATTCTACATTCTATAACCTTTATGTTGATATGTAGTTTGTGGAGGTTTCCTTGAAAACAGCGCGCGTATGAATTTTTTTCTGGAGGACTCCCGCGAAGGTTTGAAGTAACCATCCCCCACATATACCTGCACACCATGCATTTCATTAATCCCCTACATATACCTACACATCTTATATCTCAATAATCTTCCACATATACCTGCACAGCCTATATTTCATTAATCCCCAAATATACCTACGCAGCATACATCTCATTAATCCTGCAAATATACCTACGCAGTATACATCTGATTAATTCCCCACATATTTCTACACACCGTACCGTCTCATTAATCCCTACATATACCACAGCCCACATCTCATTAATCTCACACATATACCTACACATCCTACATCTCATTAATCCCACACATATACCTACATACCCTACATCTCATTAATCCCCCACGTATACCTACACAGATTTCATCCTATTAATTCCCAACATATACCTACACAGCCCACATCTCATGAATCCCTCTCATTTATTACCTTCACAGTTTGCATTTCATTAAATCGTTTCTAGAGTCATTAGTCATTATATTCAGAGGTTATCAACTCATGTAGAACCAAGTAGTCTAAGATATCTTGGAACAAGTAACATGATTGACTATCGTTATTCATATTATCCGTTCACTTGCCGTGCGTTGAGCCGTTCAAACGGATACCGTTTTTTTTTTTTTACTTTGTACTGACGCGTGATGCGTGATTTAATAGAAAAATTCAGCGTGATGCGTGATTGGAACCCCACCTTTGCCATCACCTTGCTTGCAAGCAGGATGGCTGTTTATAACAGATGTTTTTTTTAATCACTTTTGAACTATGTTTATCCGTCAGGGATTCTCTGCAAGGATGTTTGGCTAGCAGTGTGCATGATGCGGTTGCTGCGCACAAAATGTATCAGCGTTGAAAGGAAAAAATGGCCGTTTTCCTAATTGTAGAGAAACCCAGGTGAACGGTGATTACACCAGGACCAAGAAATTAGAACTGCATAATAAAGGGACTGCCAATTGGTGCCCTTCAAGCGAGTACAATTTTTAAGGCCGACATTGTAATTCACTCTGCAGGAATTTTTTTTCTTCACTTCTTCTTTTCATTTTTTTTCAGTTACCCTCACCCCATCACTTTTCTAATAGTCCTTCCCTTACCGAAACATGCAACGTTTTTTTGCAAGATACTACTTAACAGCGCCTTGTTTATGATTATGCACTAGTGATTAGGAATAGAGTTTGCGTAGCCTAAGCCAGTCAAATTTACTACTGCTTGAAATGTTTCTTTTGATTATAGGTGGCTCGATCAGTTGCTTTATCGAATCATTTGGATGATGAAGTCCTTCTTAGACAATGTCAACTCCGACCATGAGGCTGCAACGCAGAGATTAACCCACGTGATAGAAAGACTGAGGAAGCTTCAAGCCGAACAGGAATCGTCAAAAGAGGACCTTAAAAGGTGTCTTGTCCGTGAGACTGCCCAGGCCATTGCAGTTTTGATCAACTACTTGAAAAGTGATGAGGTGATTGAAAGTTTTTGCAGATGGAGCTCAGATGAACTTCCAGATGTCGAGGGATCATGGGAAGTTACTGAATCAGCAATCATGAAGCTCATCCAGACCAGACTGCAGACACTGATTGAAGAATGGGAGGGAGAGCAACAGCACTTTGCAAAGGCTCGCAAATCAGTGGTCACTTTTTTTCTAAGGAA